GTGACTTAAAAATAATCACAAATAGGGGGTTGTCAGTAAGCTTGATAATCATGAATTCACCGTGTTAAGTGGTCGCACAAAAACTAAACGCGCGGGGTTGCGACCAAACCCCGCGAACACTTTTTGTGACGTAAGGCTTCTTCCTTAGAGGACCTCAAAGCTGATAATTCTGGTTCCTTCTTTGAGGACATAAAACACTCAAGATAATTTAGGGGGCCCTTCACCATCCTTGTTTCTATGCACCTTTGCACTCTTCTTTGGAAGGCTTTGTCATTTGCCTTGTCTTCACCAAACAACACTGGAGGCCTCTGGACCTTGAACCAAATAAGTTCTCAGCAGCAAGGGTTGTTTTTTCACATGCTGCAACTGTGTGTCCTGTTTTTACTGATCCAACTGCAACTGTCTCCATTACTGCTGGTGCTGACTTCTTCTTCTTCATTGTTGTTGTTGTTGTTGTTGTTGTTGTTGTTGTTGTTGATGATGATGATGGTCCAAAATACAGCCAAAAATTGCTTTTTTTCCAAAATACTTGGTTGATTTATCCAAAACTTCTGGATTCCCTTCCCCTTGTTATAATGAATAAATCTGGTGCACTGGTTGTCTTAATGATGGAAGTGAAGGTGGTGTTTTGTTGGTTACACTGCAGCTTCTTTTGTTGCAATTTTTGTCAATTTTGATGCTTGTTGAATACAGCTACTAAAAGCTTATGAAAGACTCAGTCCATCAATCCAGAACTTCCAGATCCTTTTCCCCTTGATGTAGTAGGGATTAGAACTGTTGTCTTGTGAGCGGGATTAGTTGGATATTGATGAAGAACTAAAGAGGTGACAGATTGCTGAGTTGGGGTTGATTAAATGAGAGTTTTTTCTTAATGGGCGATTCCCGTTAATCTAGAAAGTCTAAACATTGATAGACAGACAGACCAAAAATAGACCATCTAGTCTCAATTTTTAGACTTTCTGTCAACGCACGATCCTGGCTTGACAGAAAGTCTAAATCTAGACCGGAATCCAAGAATGAAAATCCGTTGTAGGACTCAACTGAAAAGACCCGTCAAATTGAAGACTGAAAGAATTTACTAAAAAATTAGAAGGCGCCAGCGCCAGTATTTTTCTGTCATAACACCAAAGAGAACGACAGCAATAACCATGTCCCCTGTCTTATTCACTACGCTTTACGTTAGATTGAAACAAAGAGAGCACCAGAAGAGCACTAGTCCAAGACAACAAGTCGCGTCGGCCTCTCTTGGCTTTCCTTTCTTTTTTCCACTCCTAAGGGGGGGAAGGAGAACAATCTCATTGTTTTTGATTGAGTATCTGTTGAAAGCTGGACCAAATAGCTCAAGGAGATCCCTGAACACCCTGTGGTCTACACCACAGCAGTTGAGAAGCGCTTGGTCACAGCCTGAGTGAAAGAGGAAGGCAAAGGAGGAGTCCACATATCTCCTAATTGCAATCCTAGGCATTCTTCTGTCCCTCCTGCGTCTCTCCTCTGGAGTCTTTTGTTTGTCTTCCCATTCCTGTACCAAGTGTCCTCTATGCTTGATTGCCCAGTATATGCAAAGTGTTTCAATGACACCCATTGTATCTCTTTTCTTCGCTGGGAGGCAACTCTAGTCTTTTGTTTAGGATACAGTGGTGTTTATGAATAAATTTATTTCATCATGTAGTAAATCACAGTATCGAAAATCACCATCGAAAATTTCGATACTATCGAAAATTTCGTGTTTTACTTGGTACTGTACTCAAAAAGGGCGCCCGCGCGTTCATCCAGTCTTAGTAGTCTTAGTCATTTCTGTTGAGATTCCGGATTCCTTAAAAGCCAAAAATTTAGTCCGTTGGGAGCCTGTTTTTAATGATTCCMATTAAACTAAAAAGTCTAAAAGGTCTACTTTAGACTTTTAGACCATCTAGATTAACGGGAATGACCCAATTTTGGTACTGTTAGAAATCAACAAGCACGAAAAGGTTTTTTTTTTAATAAAAGTGTGTGACATCGTGCCACATCTTCACTCTCCCCCTTTTCAACTGCCCTGTTTCACTCTCGATTGATGAGACGTCTCACTTCCTTTCAATAGCGACCACCAGGACGACACAATATGAATGTGGTACGAACGATATTGCAATACGAAGAACTGTAGTAGTGCGAAACACGTGCAACAACCATGCAGTAGTCGTGTTCACGGAGATTCTGAGAGGCCCTACTGTAGAGTACGTATCTTAAGGTGCGTACGATAGGAATATTCCACCAAGCTTGTTTTTAGAGATCCGAAATTTCCGGAATCGTTTTCTTTTGTTCTCAACCTTCGGTTGGAATTATTGGTGCGTTAGATTCGATAGTATCGTACTACTGCTGAGACAGAGTGGGGAACAACAACATGTGACAGCTGCGAAGCTACCGGTAGCTACGCTGTGGTACAGACAGGAAACAACGCAACCCGAAGGCCACGGACACAGAGACAGACACAATACGAAACATCCAGAATGGACGCAACTAATTGTTCATTGTTTACACAGAAAAGGCAAACACATTGGTTCATATTTCGCATTCGATGAGTGGCGGGACAACAACGACAGCTTCCGGCCCGTCCCATTCCGGAGACCAGCTTAGCTGGGCGAGAGATACTCTTAGTGAGTGGGGAGAAGCTTCAAAGTCCAACAGTGTCATCTACACGTACGCATTCGTAACATTTCTGACCCTCGCCAAGACGGAGGACGGCGGCGAAGGCCAGGATGACAGCGAGCTGGTCGACAGGTATCACAAAAACAGGGGCTACCAGGGAAGCAAGCTCGGAAAGCTAGCCGGGACAGCCCTCCTCCTAGTGCTGGTGGGCGTGGCCATCGTCATCCAGACGGTGACCCCGATCGCCATCGTCGCCACGATGGAACTTCCGGAGGGAGGGGCGTGTCCGAACGAGGCCGACGGCCTCACCAAGTTCATCGGGCTGACCCTCTGCCTCTATTTCGTCTTTCTGACCATCAGCATGTGTCAGAACAAGCTGCGGGCCATGGGCTACCTGCGGCTGTTCTGTGGCCACCACGACGCCGGGCTGGGAGGCAGGATGGGGATCTCTTGCGGCGTGCTCTTTCTGGACGCCGGGATTCTCGCCAACATGCTGTCCATGGGGGCGGCCGGTGCGGCGCAGTACCTCCTCTTTGTCCGCAACGCCAACCGGGACGTTCTTCTCCTCCTCCTCCTGCAGTCCCTCGCAATGCAGTTCGTCCTCACGGCGGACCAGAAGCTGATGACGGGCGCCTGGAACGCCCTCACCAAGAAACAGATCGAGATTCTCCTACAAAAAGACACAGCGGGCAACAAGCCGGGAGGAGCCGGTGGTGCCGAAGAGTCGGGACTCGGAACGGAAGCCATTGAAATCGACGATGCGAGGCTTTCCAGGATCTTGTTGATGCACAAGGCAGAAACGGCGTTTCTGATGTCGGTAGTATTGATCGGCGGAGGGTGGTCCATCGCTCTCACGTACTGCATGTAAGGAGGGAAGGAATCAACGGAGGATTCGATTTCTCCTTTGTTTTGTTGCGCTCGGTGGTTAATCTGTGAAATGTTGATAGGCTCCTTAGTGTACGATAATACGTCGTTAACAATAGTGAGGATTACTCACTAGCTACTCGTGATTGTGGTATGGGCATTACCTCACATTCCAAACCCATTTGTTAGCTGTATTAGCAATGTTGGCCATTCCTAAAATACGTCATTCCAGGTATGGCTGTCTACAAGTAGACATACTATCCTTGTTCTAGTATGAGTAGAATAATCAGAACAACCAAAAACACTTTTTTCTTTCTTGTTTTTACTACTAGTACTGCTTCTTGCTACTATTGTATTAGTACTTCTACTACTACTAGAGTAAGAAGTATTAGTATTACTACTAGTAGTAATTAGTGGAAGAATAAATAAGCAATCATAATTTTTACTACTACTTCTAATCAAATCCCCTGCTACATTTGATTGAACATTAGCTAGTACTAGTCCTCATCAATTGCATTACTATTTCCGTGTGCTCCAAGTGGAAATATGAAACATCATGCTAGTACTACTACTACAAAGCAGTTATATGGTGATTCTGTTAATATTCTGAAGATGAGGACAGCATAGTAAAATTGCATTCTCATTATTGCCTCAACAGCCACAAAAATTCCTACTAAATTGGCCTATGACCTAAAATACCCACATACTGTAAGTCATACCCTCATTCTTGCAACCGTTGACTTTTTTGTGCATTTTTTACTAAGGAAACCAGTATACGGCATTGTAATAGAGGTCATATTCAGTAGCCTTTGAGGTGCATTCTCAGCTGTTAAATATACATAGAAAATGCACCAATGCAACCCAGTCATTGGGGTATTGGATGCATGGACGAGGTGCAAACTAATAATTTTTTGATCACTATTCCTTCTTGTCTTATCAGAAAATATGGAGGGTGCTTACTGATACAGAGGATGCTGATACGGAGGAGCTGCTAATATGGAGGATGCTTGCTGATATGGAGGACACGATTAGAGAGGAGGATGCTGGTGATACAGACAAGTTGGTCTATGATTACAGTCTATGATTATGGTCTAGTACAAGAATTATGCAGCCAGTATTGGTGGGGATACATCATAGGGGGGACTTGTTGCTACAGAGGACGATGCTGATAGAAGTGGCTGATGTAGAGGATGCTGCTAGTAGTGAGGACGATGCTAATACAAGTCGTTGATACGGAGGATGCTGTTAAGGAGGATGTTACGGATGCTGATACAGATGCTGATATGAGTGGCTAATACAGAGGATGTTCATACAAGTCACTGGTGGTGATACGGATGATACTGATACAAGTTGCTAATACAGAGGATGCTGGAGCTGCCACGGATACTGCAATGGATAGTACTGCAATGGATACTGCAATGATCATGGATACTGCAATGGATGCTGATATGGATGCTGATATGGACAATGCTGATATGGATGCTGATACAAATCACTAACAAGGATGCTGATACAAGTTGCTGATACGGAGGATGCTGATACCAGCACTACTAGTTGCTGATACGGACGAGGACGCTGATACAAGTCACTGACACAGGTTGCTAGTAATATGGAGTAGCTGCTGATACGGTGTCTGCTAATATGGAGGATGCTGATACAAGGAACAAGAAGTACTAGTAGGATGCTGATATGGAGGAGCTGGTGCTGAGACCTTGTCTGCTGACACAGGGTCTTCTTGCTGGTGCTGTGGATGTAGTAGATGCTAACTACTTTGACTTCTAGTAGTACTTGGTGTCCTCTCCCTAAGCTCTTTAAAAACTATCATAATTATATGTTTCTGTTATCGCCAGCAAGAATAACCTTCATCGTATGTCTGTTTATTGTTATGGAAATTGCCTTATGCTCCTTAATGATGGAAGTAATTCTGCTCAACGGGGGACTTCACAGATTTTTTGCTCAACCGGCATGGTAGATGCTGATAGTAGGAATCAACATTTATGTACAGGTACTAGTACATGATAGAATTGTACACACTTCCCTACTGTTGCAAAATTAGTTGCATTTTGTCATCATATCCCCATAGTACTCTCTTTCATACAAAACCGTCCGGTACATTTGTTTTTGAGACCAACCCTCCCAGAAATCTGAACAATTGTCTCACGGGACGTCAAGTGGAAGGAATCATGTTGCTGACGCTTGAATTCCATAATAAAATATTGAATTTGTTCCAATGAAAAATGAAATGACGACAGGTGTCTATTTAGGTGTCTATTTATTTTTAAACGCTCGCGAAGAAGAAGTCCTGACCAACACCCTTTAAAAACAATAATTGCTATAAATAGCTTGTCGAAGCGCATGTTTTCGCTTCGAAGAACATCGAGAAATTTCCTGATCGACAAACTAATGGAATTTGGATTCATCCAATTGTTTATGCATATTTTGTCATACAAAATATATTTTGTTCTTAACAGACACCATCGTTCGTCACTGTTGATATCCTTGACAGAGTTGAATAGAACGATAAGTGGAAATTTTCGATAGAAACAGAAAAAATCACTCATGCAAGAATCCCTCCGGTTTCTTATGCTTCGAAGACTCAGCTATAAGAAGATCGGGAGGTTCTTGTTGCTTCATAGCATTAAATGAAACACTCGTAGCAGATTTGCAAAGAAAAGAACGATATTTGGATATTTTCGATGGACACATGAAAACTAACGAATGGAATAATATTTATCTGTTTCATATCGGATTCGGAATTGAAGAGCAGTCTAGTACAAGAACACGAAGTACGTGTACTTCAGGAAGTACAGGGAAAGAACATTGGGGTTGTGTTGTGCATGCTGGCAACGTCAGCATACAAATTCACTTCTTCACCTGAGAATATGGACCTCGCAGAGCTTCATAATTGGATAAGAACAGCACATACGAACTCGATTGTGTGGAATCTTTTTGGTTCAACATGTTCAAACGCATTAAGCTTATCCACAATTGTTGCATTGCGAACCATTATTTGAAACACGCACAGAGCAATTAGTTCATAAATTCTACTTCGAAGACATTGAAAACCAGATCCAATCCGATTCAATCCCTATTGTACCATGCGTTTCTCCAAGATCCTCTTTGCCTTCCTTCTCGTCGCCTCCGCTTCCCCCGGCGCCTCCGCTTCCCCCGACGACAAGTTTCCCAAATTTCAGGTACGTTTTTCTTCTTCGGGCATGGGGCTCGATACAACAGATTAACTCTTCCTCTTGCCGTTCAAACTTTGCTGCTGGTCACAACCTTTCTTGTCCTTTTGACTTCTCGCCATCCAACTCTCACGGAATTCAACGCATTTGATCTATGTGTATTACCATCGAAATCTGAAACACTCGTGCATACATCTGCTACGAACCATAGGAGTGTGTATCGGATTGTAAGTGTTTTTCGGATTGTAGACCATATACAAGAAAATTTTGCAATACAATTTGTAGGTTATTTGTCCGCGGAAATACGCATATGTCAGCTTTAATTGAAACATACTTTGAAGTACCTAATGAAGCAAAAGACGAAGCAGGACTACCAAATGATGCAGAAAATGAAGCAGAAGACGAAGCAGCAAATGAAGCAGAAGACCAAACAGAAAAAGGTGAGGTCTGAGCCTGTATCACCAGTTGGTAGAAATACGAAATACAGTATTTTGTATTTTGGGACTTGGTAGTTTCGATTGTGGAGCAGGGTTGGAGACGGGAAAATAATCGAATTATTCTCGAACGAAACGTCTGGGCTCGCTCTCTTCAGTCATTCTTCCATAGTCACGAGTACGAATAGCTATGAAATACTCTTGTACAGTACTACCGGTACGAGTAGTACTAAGAAATAACCTCACTCTTTATTGTAAACGACGTACGTTCGTACTGTATTATCGTACAGTGTCAGCACATAGGTTCTCGATTCGAAGTACGAATAGTACGTACTCGTACGAGTACTCGTATCTGTACGAAGTATTTCTTCGTACTTTTTTTTGTTCGTAGCACAACGATACGTCCGTCAGGGGTCATGATTTAGAGGGGTGCGCGTCGCATCGAAAACTCATATTCCATGTGTCTCCGAAATTGGAAAATGTCACCCCAGGATTTTTTTAGAACTATATTTTTACTGCATAATACTAGTAAAACTATTAAACTTTCAAGTTGTAATATCTTCATCAATATTAAGAATAATATTAAATTTGACTAGCCTATTGATACTAGTTTTTAATGAGGATTCTGCATATACCATTTTCTTACATATGAAATGGATTTTTCTGCTACTATGTTTCTATTGAAATATACACAATATTTCCATCCTCTATTTTTACTACTACTAGTACTGGTAGTAGGAGGAGGAGAGTTCAGCTAGCTACTAATACTGTAACAGTACTCCAACTAATACTATCAGTACTAGTGGTAGTAGTAGATGTCATTACTACAACTAGTAGTAGTAGTACTAGTACTAAGTAGTAGTTGTTGCAGTACTAGTACTACTAGTAGTACCACCAGCACCATGGTGACAATGGCTGATTGTTGAGTAAAAAGTAGTTTCTATTTTAAGTGAACCAATGTAAATGATAATTTTTCTTTCTCACTAATATGCTCTTAAGTACTACTACTATCTTTGTCCCTTCTTGCACCACCACCACGACTCCTCCTCTTGCCACTTTTTCTTGAACCACCACCACCACCACCAATGGCATCTAGTTCTCCACGTAGAACTAGATTGGTGTCCTTATTTTCACTACCTCTGACTGTAAACTTCTCTCTGTATCCTCTGAACTCCTCACTAAATCTAGCATTTACCACCTTCTCTACCAATTCATTAAATATCTTTTTCTTCTTCTTCTCCTCTTCTTTACTACTATCACCAATCAAGTTGTTGTTATGTTCGCTACAAGTACTGGAAAATGATTCTAAGAGCTCTGTGTCATCAACTATCATCCTCTTTGCCTTTTCTGTTGCATTTGGATTATTCTGTAACTTGTCCAGTGTCAATGCAGCTGATACTTTTCTCATGAGGAGTATTCCAAAATCAAAGTACTCCTCATTGACTAAAGTTAGATACCCTCTATTTGCTGACCGAAGGAAAGTGTCATAACACTTGTCCATATATGACTTGGATAGCAGTGCATCCTCAGCATAAAATCTCATATTGGAGAGAAAGTCAATTTCTTCTCTCAGCTGGATTGTCTGCTCATTTTCTTCATCTTCATCTGCAGCCAATCTCATCTTCCTGATTTTATTCAATCTCAAACTAAAAATTGCCCAACCAACAATTTTGTTCACATCCCGGACATGAAGATCCTGTCCTGCTCCTTCTTCTTTCTGCTGCTTATCTTCTGCATATTTCACTAGCCCAAGTCTCTGTTTCTTCTCAAACTCATCAACTAACACCAATATTACTGAAACAATTCCCATCCTCTCTTCATCAGTAGAGTTCATTGGAACTATTCCATCAATGTCTTCAGTTTGCAACATACCAAAGACCTTCATGTGGAATGAAACACCACTTAATCTTTTTGATTTCTTCTTCTTGATCTCTTCTGCTGTCTTCATCAGAAATTTCAGAAGCCTCAGATTGATCTGTTGGCACAGATTATCAAACATATCATCCACCTGTCTAAGAATTATCTTTTCAAACCACTTTTTGGTTCCCTCTGTAAGCAGTGATGCTTGTGCATAATCCTGGAAAGCTGGATTATTTGAGAGCATCTCAGAGTAACTGGGACTTGCTTCTTCTTCCCCAATGATCCTTAACCACCAGGAAAAGCTTTGTTCAGTTTTGCTGAATGCATCATGCGGAAACATGGAAATATTGTTAGCACCAGCAGAGTCCTCTTCATTTGCTTTAGACACCTCACTCCTTCTCTTTAAGATATCTTTCACCCAGTTAGCTCTCATTTTGGGACCAGCTGTCAGGTCAAAATCAATGGAGTATAGTTTTTCATTCTCCTTTGCAATGTGATCTGTAGAGTAGGACCTTGAGGTTATTGATTTGGTTGCTGCTTTCACATTCATTGCAATCATTCCCTTTTCAAGTAGCAGAGAGGTGTCCCTTCCAGTTCCTCGAAAACATGAAAATGTTGATTCCAAAGTACTTGAATTGTTGTGGAGGAAAGGAACAAAATGTAGCTCTGGTTGTTCTTCTAGCAGCTCCTTTGCATAATATAAAAATGAAAAGATTGAGATCTTCATATTTCTAAGTGTGATTGGTGAAATGCAAAGTTGAGACCACTTCTGCACTCCCCATTTCTCCTTGCTCATGTTTTTTTGGGTTTTACTCCAACGTCTCCATTCATCAAAATATCCCATGGCCTTTTCCATTCTTTGGATTTCATTGTTGACATTGAGTGAAAGAATGATCCTCCCACCTAAACTGTCTCGTTTCCTTGATTCCGGTGTTATAACAAGTCTTGCATTCTTGTTTAGAAAGGGAACAATGAATATTTTGTGTATGATCACAGAGATTTCAATGAAAGCTAGTTCATTTTCAAACCCACCTTTCATGTCATGTTCAGGAGGAAGTGCAGATATTTTGGTTTTCAGCAACTTAACTTTCTCTTCCAGAATTTCACCACTGCATCCATCCTTACCAGTATAGTCTTTCATCACTTGATCAAAAATATCTGCATCACAATCCATTTTGCTAGCCAACCATTGACAAAGGTAAGCAAGTGTTTCTTCTTCAAAAGCTCTCTTGGCATCATTTACATTTTGCTGTGTGAATTGGTCAGGGTATGCAACACTCCTCCTTACACTCCGGACCTCAATGACATTCATTGAGTTTTCAAAGTTGTCCTTCAAATGGTGGTACAACTCCCTTATTACTTGCCAGGAAATGAATTTCCCCTTATTCACCAACACTCTATATGCAAGCATATTTTTTGCGCGCTTCAAACAATGAACAGAGCATAATGAAGTCCAGATATGCCTTGAAGGTGACATTGGATTTCTGTATCTCATACATTCCATCTCAGGTTTTGCCTTGCTGAAATTGTTCGCTTTACCAGAAGTTAGCAATCCAAGTGCACTTATATTGCCGCCACCTGCATCACACATTTGAAGCTTGACTTTGAAACCAACAAATTCCACAGCAGTGATGACATGCAATAATTGCTTCACAAGATCATCACCATCTAGACCACCACTGTTGTAAAAATATGCAACAGTCCATGTTTGGTTCTTGGACGTTCTAAGCTTGAAGACATTTGCACATTGTGCAGGTACAAAATATGGATCTTTCTCACTCATATCCTGTTGTTCAGTATCTTCTTGTTGTTGCCCTGAGATTGTACTTAAGCTATCATTGGCCAATGATAGTATCTCCTCTGCAAAGCTCATGGTTCTTCCATTTTTGCTTGCAGTGAACCCTGACTCTTTACCAGTCATTGGATTATATGCAACTCCACACTTTACTTTGATCTCATCAAAGATAATCTGTACAATAGTTTCTTCAGGAGATGTATATTTTTTCCCTGCATGAATAGCATCATGAAACTGAGCAGAAAATCGAACAGCATGTGCACCATTACCACCACGTAAATGTGCCAATTCTGTTTCATTTGTCCTTTGACTTGGTAAGATTTCAAGTGCGCTTTCCCGAAGCCTTTGGTATCCTGTTTTTCCATGCTCTAAGAAGTATGACAAAGCCAGACGTTTCATACGATAATCATATCGAACTTGCTTATCATGTCCAGTCAACTTTTTTGATTCTGCAACAAGAAGTGTGCAGACCCTTTCCACAAATATTTCTACTTCTTTTGTGTCTACTAGGCTCTTCCAATTTTCCTCCTTTATGTTAGCCTGTAGTAAAGTTTTCAGCATAAGTTTTCTGAAGTCAGATTTTGTATCTTTGTTGGTTGCAAAGTTAAAGGCTTCTCTTAAAACACTCCGTGCTTCATTGCTATCAATTGCAACCATTTGTGTCAGTGATGCATTTTTAAGTTTGAATTGCATTGTCTTCACTTGGTAGTTGAGAGTTTTTTTTTCAACAGAAAGCCCTCTGACCCTTTTTTTGAGGGATTCTGGAGAAAGATAACCCACCCGAACACGTGAATCGGAAGCTGATCTTTGCCCTGCATCAACATGCTTCCTTTTGCCTCGCCTTTCATCTTTGATTCGTGATGATACACATGCATCGCAGTTGGTTGATTTTTCAATGTATTTTGTCATGATTTTGAAATGGTCACAATCTTCTTTGTCAGTGCATGAAGAAGATATGCACATATGAACTATGACATTTTTCTGCAGTTCAAAAGCAAATGGATAAGAACTGCATCTTCTTGCTTGAAATGATATATCATTAGCAGCTCTTTGAACAAATTGACTACATTTGAACTCATCTTCAGAAGATGCTTTCTCATATTCTAAAATCAAACCTTTATGAATTGACTGGACACTTTTGTAACAGGATGGGTCCTCTTCCTCTTCATTACTATGTAGGAGCTGGAGACTCACAAGTTCTCTCCTAGGAAAGTGAGGTTCCTCTTTCTCTGGAGTAAAAAAATCAGATGGGTCCAAAGGAGTTGTGGGACCACGTTTGGAAGCAAATTCATTTGCTTTTGCAAGAACTGATTTTTTTGATTCAAGTGGAGGACCAATGTATGAATTTTTCAGTTCATCTTCTTTTTGTTTATCAGATTTTAGTTGCTGTAGAAGTGTTGGATTGTTCTTTGTTAGCAGGGCATAAACTGTGAAGTTGCCTGCAACTACAAATTCAAKGGTGCAACTTCCGCTAAGTTGCAATCTGAGTACTCCTCGGCTATCTTGTCCAGGATAGCGATCCCCCTCCCGCCCAGCACTGGTGAAGTCAAGTGGCAGATCACCCCGCTCTAACTACACAACAGATGTCGCACTGAATTACCTATAAGGGCAAAACGTGTTGGTTCAGTTGCGGAACCCTGAAGTGGTTGGGGATCACTACTTAGCACTATCACCACTTTGGCAAAAAACCAACTTCCCAAAGACAGCTACAAGAAGGGAAGCACAGAATCACAAACCACCACACCAGACTGCTTCTAATGTTCTAATTAATTTTACCTATAACCTATTAGAGAGAAATAACAAGAAGGGAAGACATGGAAGCAGCTGTAATGTAAGAATATGTAGAATCTGCAGTAGAAATACAGTAGCCCTAGTAGGAAAAAATTGTTGAAGGACAGACAGATTGGACTGATGGAGCGAAAACGGACGAAGGACGGACTGTCGATTTTTTTTTTTTCAGCTGGGGGGGGTCACCAGCAGGAGCCCTGTGTCAGCACTTCAAATTTTGAACCGCAGACAGCATTAAAATATAAGAAACACTTACTACTTGACTCTCAACTATATGAGAGATGTGCATACGAAGTTTGAAAATCAGAGAATGATTGAAAGTGTTCCTGTGTAGGGGGTCTTTCAGGTACACTTTTAGCAGTGATATGCAGTAAAAATTAAGTTGTCAAAAAATCCTGGGGTGACATTTTCCAATTTCGGACACACATGGAATAATGAAATTCTGATCCTGCACGAGGAAAAAAAAACTGTTGCGCGCCCCTCTAAATTATGACCCCTGACGTCCGTCCGGTACAAATCGTGCGATGCTCGTGCGAACACCGTCCACCCTTCCGTGTTTGCGAGCGCGCCAGCCGGTGTCGTCCCCACGTCCACGTGGTTCCGGAATGGAATTCCGTATTCCCGCGCCTTCCGTGGATCGAATCGTGGGGGGGAGTCACAGATCCCGCCGCGACACGAACCCCGGAAGGCATGTCCCGGCAGGGTGTCCCGGATCCGTCCATCGGCTCCGTCGTGCCGGTGCGTGGCACCGTACGGTACATTAAAGTACCTTACCGTACGGTACATAGCCAGAGTACGGTATTACCAACGCGGGACCAAGATGGTTACAGCGGCTCCGGAAGCAAGCGGCGATGCGAAAACCTACCGATTTGGGCAACGCTACATATCGACACACATACCCACACACAATAGATTGGCGACGTACTGGCCTCGTCCATTGTCCATTGTCCATCGCCACGACAAAGTCTCTCGGATTGCAACGGGGATCGGGGGACCGAAACGAAACGAAGCGAAACGAAACGGACCACCGATCGATCGCACGGTCGGACCGTCGGAACCAATCGTGGCGTCCCCGCACCGCCGCATCGCGGCCGCAGCGGTGTCCCGCCGGCGGCTGTTCCGCGGTGCACCCGGCCCGGGCGTGCTGCGTCGCCGGACGGAGACGGCACCGATGCCCGCACGGGACAACAACAACAACAACAGCAGCAGCAGCAGCAACACCAAAAACAACAACGACAACACCAAAAACAACAACAACGACAGCAACACCGAAACGGGCCGGGGGCACCGGTTCCCCTCCACCGCGGCGGGCGGCGTGGCCGAAGGCTCGCACCAGAGGGAGGGCCGGTTCTTCCCGCGCCGCCGAAGGGGGGAGCCCCTTTCCGGTCCCTTGCACGGAAGGCCCGATGGCGACGGCAGCAAGGACAACCGCAGAAGCAACACCGCTTCCGGCAACGACAGAAAAAGCAACGGCCACGGCCACGGCCACGGCCACGGCCACGGCCACGGCCACGGCCACGGCCACGGCCTTTGGTTCGGAGGGGGACCACCCTCCCCCCCGAACGCGGGCCCCTTCCGGTGGGAGCCCCACGGAAGGGTCCGTCCTGCCGGCACCGAAACGGCGATCCAAGACTCCCCCTCCGGAACGACACCGAGCCACGGAATCGTCATGGGCCTGCTGGTGGTTCTGATCGTTGCGCTGTGGATCAACATTGTCTTTCTGGTCTACCGGCCGCTCTGTCGGTACTGCAGGCGCAAGCTGGGATTCCTTGCCGCCGAGGACCAAACCATGGTGGAGCAGAGGTACAAAACCATCGACAAGTGGATGATCCAAAAGGTGAGCAGCACGTCCTTCCTTGCTTCCTTTGGCCGGGAAGCAACCCAAGCGACGAGGCGAGGCGAGGCACGGCACGGCACGGCATCGATGCGGTGTTCTTGCCGCTGGCGACGACGACGACGACGACGACGATGCTTTTGGTTTTGGTTTTGTCTTTGAATTGAATTAAATGAAATCGGGCATTGTGCCCTGCGTCGATGCGATGCGATGCGATCTTATTTTTTTTCGTTTTTTTTGCGCCTCCCCACTCCATCGCATGCGCAACACAACCACCGGCTTGTTGTGTTTTCCTCCCCCGCGACGCGGAACCCAAACGCGAAAACCCGACACCCACACCCAGACCGTCCAGCCCCACGACGACACCTGCGAGCGAATACAGAACTATTCCCGGTGGCAGAGCGGAACCCAGAACCACCCCTTCCACGGCGTAGCCGAAACCGCCTGCGGTGGGCCCTCGCACCATCCGCCGCCACACCATCCCCCCCTGTGCCAAGCGGCCAGCTTCGAGACGGAGGCCACCCAAAGCAGCAGCAGCAGCAGCAGCGATGGCGCGTCTTTTTCCGTTTGCGGTGGTGCCCACCGGGGGGCAGAAGACCCGCTCGGGGAAGGGCTCTTGGGCGGCCTTCTCACCCGAGAAAGCGTCTTGGCCAAGATGGAGGTCGGCGGTCGAGCACCCGACACCGAAGACAAACCCAATAACGACAACCACCAACACGAGACACGGATCCCAAGAACAGAGGCCGTTGCGCGGGCCACCGGCCTTCGGAGCGGGACGCAAGGAGCCGGACCGCAAGCGCCAGCGGATGCCACGGCCACCGTTTGCGGCATCTGCCTCGAGCGCTTTTTGGAAGGGGAGACCGTCTCGTTTTCCCCCCTGCAGGGCACCGGCTGCCACCACGTCTTCCACCACGGCTGTTTCCGGGAGTGGCTCCTCCGGAGGACCGGCTGCCCCTGCTGCCGGGCGGTCGTCCTGCCCATCGACCGGGAACCCACCGAAGCAGACGCCGAAGCAGACGCGGACGCGGACGCCGAAGCAGACGCCGAAGCAGACGCGGACGCCACCGCAACGCCCGCAGCTTCCAGCACACCTGCGCCAAAGCGCAAGGACGGGCAGGGCAGGGGCACGAAGGACCTCCGAAAGGAACGAGCCCGGCTCGTCGGCCAGCGGTCCCTGCGGAAGAAGGGGGCGTTTTTCTGCGCGGGCTGCGGCCTCGTGCGCCTGGGGGAGGGGCTCTCGAGGGACCTCTGTCTCCCGGTGCCGGGGGGATCTCTGGCAACAACGGCAACGGCAACGACAACGGCAAAAACAACGGCAGCGGCAGCGCGCACCCGTGCCGGGGCGGGCGTCCGAGAGCGGCAGTGCTCCGGTGTCCCGACCGCTCCGGCACCAGAGAACCAGCCACCAGCCACGCGGCGCAGAGAGGCAGCCCCCCCTGGCTAGCAGGGCAGAGGATGGCATGCACTGCCGCACGAACCGAATCACTACTAGCAGTAGCAGTAGTAGTAGTAGTTACCAAACTTTGTTGTTCATTAGATACGATTGCATTATCTACTATTACAGTACTAGTACTAGTACAGTAGTACTAGGTTTCTTTCCGCTACTAGTAGTTCTTGGGTTTTGCTTTGATGGTAACTTCAGGTAGTAGTATTGGTGCGGTAGTTGTGCTGTACAGTACGTTGACCATACTACTATGTAACTAGTACTAGTAGTACCTCCACGAAGTAAAATAATCAAAACCCGTGAGCCACCTCAAGTTCATTGCATAAGAAAGGGATATACGGTAGTACCGTACGAGTAGTACGTACCGGTAGGACATAATGTGAAGTGCTAATAGACTCCTTCGTGTCGTATGAGTGAGTTTATTCACTAGCTACTCGTGATCCAGTGTTGTCCTCACACATAACGACGGTATGTACTCGTACTCATAATCGTACCGTATCGTAAAATGTTGCCGTTGGTTTTTGTCGTACGAGTATTACTTGGTACGAGTAGGGTACCGTATCCTCGTTCTTGCACTGCTTTGTGTGTTGCGCATGCTCGCGCCAACAAGATGTGGACACGAACAGTCACTATTACACTTCCAAAAGTATCTAGACACTTTTTGTTTTCGATACCGTATCTCGCTGCCGCGACAGAAGACCGAAGCGCGAGAGCGTTGCGGTACCGTTGCGGATCAGACACCGAACGGTCGTCCAGAAAAGAAAAAGAAAGAAGAACCGCATCCATTACCGGGAAGGAAGGGTTCCGTTCCGGTCCCGAGAGAAGAACCAACAGATCCCACCGGCGAGAACAGAACAGAGCAGAGCAGAACAGAACAAGGATCACCCAGGGCGTTTCGCGTTCCCGAAGACTGTCCACTATGGGCCAGTCCGCATCCACCGGCGGGGGAGCGGAGGGACCGCCGGACCTTTCGTCGACGATTGTGATTGCGGAGACGGACGAGGAAGACGACGAACGCAGCGGCAGCGATAGGGATGCCTTTTTCTCGGATGCGAAAGCCGGCGGGGGTGTGGAAGGCATCGGCGGCAAGAACGCCGACGAAACCGACAGCGGCAGCACGTGGAGCAGCAGCAGCGACAGCGACAGCAGCAGCACACACAGTGGTTCCTCTTCCTCCTCCTCCTCTTCGTCATCATCGTCGTCGTCGTCGTCGTCGTCACAGACCTCCTGCTCGTCCTCCCAGTGTTCCTTCGATTCCGGAGACTGTGCACGGCAACACGATGCAGCAGCAACAGCAGCAGCAGCAACAAGAACAATCCAACCGGTGGACCACGCAGCCACCGCGGATCGAACCAACGCTCGCGAAACCAGGAACTTTGGCACAACCAAACGTCTCTCTCCGGTGTCTCCCCCGCGCATGCTCCTGAGCCTCTCGACCCCCACGCAATGGACGGCGGCCTTTCGGACCTTTTCGGACGTGGAGCTGGTGGACCTGCTGGTAGGCGACGAAAACGAAAACGACGGCCGGGAAGACCTGTCGTCCCTCTGCGACGAGATCCGGAGCACGGCCCTGCGGATCCGGGAGTTTCGGAGCCTCGAGCGGGAGGTCCTCTCGAGGGACGGGAGGGACCCGATCGCACCGGGGATCTGCTTCTACAAGCCGTCCTCCGGGAGCGAACGCCACCGGGCGCAGGCGCGGAACGAACAAGAGCTCGAGCCAGGCCCAGACCAAGACCAGCCACACGGCGCCGAGCTCGTCGGGCTCTGCGAGCGAATCCTGGAGGCATCCTCGCGGTCGCCCACCGGAAGCAGCGGCGGAAGCACGAACGAAACGACCGGCAGCGCGAGAGCACCGCTGGCCACCCTTTCGGGGGTCCGCCGCAGGATGGTCCCCGGTCGGTTGAAGGAACACGTCTTCTGGGAGGCCCTCTGGGTGCTCCTGTACGAGCGGCACCGGGCCCGCCGCCGGGGGGAGTTCTGGAACCGGCTGGAGGCCCTCGCCAACGACGCCGCCACCGCCCGGGACACGGAGGAACGGGGAGGGCCGTGGACGCAGATCGGGCACGAGCGGGAGCGCCGGCGGCTCGTGGCGAGGCTCGGGGCCGCCTGGGACTGCGTGTCCTTCCTCACGGTCGAGCACGCCGCGATGCGGGACGAGCGGGACACCGCGGAGGCCCTCGCGCGGGCCCTGTGGGCCGGGGGCAGGGATGGCGGGGGGGATCGCCCGGAGCCCAAGGGGCTCGCGGCACCGGCACGGGGGCACACCGGCACCTGGGAGAGGAGCAGGGACTCGCTCGAGTTCCTGGCCTTTCCGGCGGACGCCAAGGAGGCCCTGCGGAAGGAAAAGCAAAAGCGCCTCTCCAGGGTCCGCGACGAAATGAGATTCATCCTGGACAGCGACGCCCCCGAAGATTCGCACGGGGAATGGACCTGCTGCCGACAGACCGACTACCACGGGGAGTGCACGGCCTAGTACCAGTAGCAGCAGTAGCTTGCAGCGATAGCGATTGCAGCAACGTTGGTAGCACCGCAGTCTGTCCTAGTCTAGTACGTACCCTTGTTTCGTTTGCGAGAGAGAGATTGATGCAGCAAGCCCGGTACTCGAATAAATTGGGTTTCGCAGTCTGCTACTATAAAAATGTACTCCTTGTTTGGACTTCGTTCCCCTCGCAACTTGGCCATCCCGGGCTCCTCGCGAGCACCCTTTCTTCTTTGGTTGCCCCTGTTTCCACCAGTACGAGTACCAGTGTACCATCTTATTCTTCTAGCTCCGCCCGGGTCCTCGGCAGGGTCGATTTGGACCTTTTTTATTTTGCCAATAGTAGATCCCCAATCCCCAAGGTACACAGTTTCTTCCACAACCCATGATGTGCCCACTCCGAAAATGGATATGGGTCCTCACACTATGTAAAGAACCAAACACAACAATCAAGAAGGATTTTTCGTCTAGTACGTAGTACCAGTACTACTGTTGTTATTCGTACTAGAAGTACTAACAGTCAGCGCCAATGAAAATATCGTTATAGCCCAAAAAATAACCGTGAACTGATCTTGAACGAAGCACGTGAGTGCGCGAAACATTATTAATATCTATCCCCGGGTTCGCAAAATATTTGAAGAGCTTAAAATATCAGTAATTCAATAGCTTCGCAGTTGGACGAACGTTACTCGTCCCCTTGCACTTACCGTTTACCTCATTTTTTCATGTCTTGCTCCGATTCGTAATCAGCACACGTCTCATTTGAAATTTCATCGCTTTAATTCACAAAATTATCATTCCATGATGTTAAGCAATAAAAACGAACAAAAGGTCTCCAGAGTTCAGGATTTGAATTCTTTTTCACAATTGTAAGAGAATACCAAAAACAGCATTACAAAGTAAAGTAGAAAGGAACGTCGAGCAAGGAAAAAAAATGATGTTGTTTCGTACTACTTCTTCCTATCAATCGACAACGAGTTTAATTCACTTTATAGAACGGAAATCGACAATGATGGATATTGTTGAACTTGTTTAATGTTCCATATTATTTTAATGCTGATACATGTATTTGTGTAGTTTGTTGTTTCAGTCTCATTTCGCTGTGGCCAGCGTTTTTGTATGAAGACATTCGCTGGAATATCCACTGTCCTGACTGTAATATATCTCTTTCGTAGACACCGAATCTTTCATGGGCTCACGCCACTGGGGCTGGAGCAACATTCTGCTGTACACCCACTAGATAAAAAGTATTGTCTAGAAACGCATCGATGATCTCGCCATCCTCCTCTACATAGGAAGTATTGGCCGTACCAGGGGATGTTCTTGCCCACGTTGCAGTTTCTTGAATCCTTCTACATTCCGTGTCCTTCCACCAATATATGGCCTTCAACAAATGTTTGTCCATAGCGAAGGCTTCGATGGAATTGAATCCATCCATTGTCTTGCACACGTGTGACATATTGTTGAATATTGCCAAGTAGCATATTTTGTCGACACCATGGATGAAAGAGGAAGCGTTTTCTAATCCGAGACGGTATAATACCCGCGCCGTTATGAATACTCTGCTGCACATCTCATCGAGAACTCTTTTGTCGCGATCATCTTTCGTGTGCTCATGTCCTTGGTGTTTGAGGTTCTGTCTACTTCCTAGTAATTCCATTCCCAACAAATGATTACAGAGTGCGGAATTGAAGAGCAACACAAACGACTTGTCCTTAGTCGACGCATTATTCCATTCGCCTTCGTCTAGTACAATGGGTAGGCAGTACACTTGTTGATAGAACTTATGATCCGTCTGACATTGTGCTGGTTGTGCTTGGTTGAGTTCTTGTTGTCCGTAGAAGGGATTCATGGGCAATGTCGAAGTACTAGTCATTCGCTTGATTCTCAAGTTGCTAGAGCTTCTTGAGGAGTTGAAAGGAACTGGGACGGTAGAGATTTCATCACTGTCTGGGCTTCTGCTGGGTGGAGCGGGTAGTGATTCCGTGCTGTCATCTAATTCGTCCAACGGCAGACTGCTATGGCAATCGCAGTCGCAAAATTGAACTGGGAGATGTGATGGAGGCAAAACTCCTGATTCGCTCTCTGAATGGTCTTTCAGCCTTTTCATGGCCAGCTCAAACAAATTGTTTGCAACCGAATAATCCCCATCCAGTAGTGACACACTTCCTCGATTGTTGAGATCAAGGATTGTCCGCATGAAATCATTTCTACTTTCATCAATACTCATTGGAAGCGTATCGACTTTGCTAGCATTACTCGTAACGCAACAATGACAATGGTGCTCTTCGTGGAGAAGATAAAAATGGGCAGAGCTCTCTGTCATAGTTTTGGTCCAAAGTTGAAGCAATTCTTTGCAGCAGCAACACAACGCTTCATTCTATCACTTGCCGTAAAGGAAAAAATGAAGTGTCTTCCGAGGACTTTCGCAATCGTGACCGTGAGTGTCTTAATGTCATGAAATATTACTACTAACTATATATTGTTCTGAATTTACTAAAGAATAATTCCGATCTCGATTGACATTCTACCGCCGATTTAACACTCTTCGTTATTAAAAAACACAATTGTATTGCGTTTGCGTTAGCTGTGTTTTTCTTAACATACTCGAATGTGGCTTTTGGTCATTCACCGAAAGCGGGATCACGCTAAGAAATAGAAATATCAATTAATGACCCACTATTCTTTAGGAACTATCGAATGTACATGACTCTTCACGTCAACTAAGAAACGCGCCCTAAAATAGTATTTTTGATATGCTACTACAATCGAAGAGCATTATGTTTTTCTTCGTGAGTGTTCTTCTTTTCGAACTTAAGTACCTGGTGATAAGGTGCCATCATAACGTTATGCAGTATTTGATTTTGTTTGATTTTGCAAAACATCGCAAGTATGCTACGAGTAGATAGTACAGACCGTACGTACAATTCTTATTTTTTTTCGGTTTCATGGAAAGTAATCCTTGCGCGCGCATATTCACTATTCTTATCGCCACTTTTCACAAATAATGGTTATACTTCGAGGCAATTGCTTCTTACTTTCTTTATTGCCTTCGACAGTTGGAGAGCATCTGTGCTGTCCGTTCGATGACATCAAACCTGCCTTGCACATAACTTCTCAACCAAAAGTCGCCTGGTGGTGCTTCTTACTAGCTGTGTTCCCTTCAATTGGATAGTGTTCTTTTGATTTGGCTACTCAGAATTGGCCAGCGGAGCCTCCTTCCTATGGATTTGGATGTCCCTTGTAATTAGGTTCCATTCCACCATCCACTGCAAAGACATCAAACTTGCCTTGCACAAAACAACTTCTCAACCAAAAGTCGCCTGATGGTGGTTCTTTGTTCTATACCCCTCAATATGATAGTGTTCTTTCGATTTGGCTAGTACTCAGAATTGGCCAGCAGAGCCTCCTTCCTATGGATTCGGACGCCGCTAGTAGTTCCTTAAAATAAACCATTTGTTGTCCCCAAGAACCCTTCCCGTCTCTTGGACATAGTAACTTTTCAACCAAAAGTCGCCTGATGGTGGTTCTTGTTTGTTCTATACCCCTCAATATGATAGTGGTTGTTCGATAATGCTACTCAGAATTGGCCAGAGAGCTCTTCTTATAGTCGTTTTGCAAGCCGCGATGGTGTTTTGTTATTGTTATTCCAAAATTTGTCATTACATGGGACCTGTTTCTAAAATTTATTTGGCACCAAATACAACTCGTCCTTAGACAGAGCCAACACGCAGGTGTACTAATTTAGTAGTGCTCTTTCCACTTGTTCAATTCCCATAAAGATCTGATGATTGGTTCTAAAGATACAGCTGTCTCCATGGGCAGTGCCAAAAATTAACAAGGAATTTGGGTCATTTTGCCCTGTGTAGATATACAGTAGGATCTAAGTGAGATTAGAAGCAAGAATGCAAATGACGACATTCAACGAGCTTATTAAGAAGATAAAGAGCTTCTTTGTAACAGTACCCTTCTTGTGTCCATAGGTGCTCTGGTTGTAAAGTTATTAGTCTCACCATGGTGAAGATGGTGTTTAGCGATAAATGTGGAATTATTTGTTGGAGTAGAATGCCTTTTACCTCTGTAGGTTCTACTAGTAGGCGTGTAACGGTTAACGCATATTACTCTGAATTAACTCGTACCTATTTGCCATACGAGTTTAACCACCAGAATAAAAAAACACCCAAAATTAACGCGCAATTTTGGGCCCACTACTACTGTAACTTTGGCAGACTAGTTCTAAGCCGCCAGAGCATCCTTAAGCATTCCAATGACCTGGATTGCTAAGTAATTGTATCATCTTGGTCTGGGCGCTTAGTCTGGTGGTCTTAAGTTGGTTTCTGATAAAGATCTGGCCTATTTTCTAACCAGCAGCCGGTCTTGTAAAGTGGCCAATTTTGGCCATACTGGGTGTTAATGGAGAACCGGCTCCCCCTTGGCCCCTAATCGTGTAACAATGACACACAGCACTCTTCTTAACACTATGACCAAGCATATCCCCAAAGGAGATCTCATTTGAGCCGGTTCTTCACCACTTTCATTGGCCTCACAAAACACTGTTTTGATCAACTTCAAAGCAACCAAGCGACCGAAAACTCGGAATTCCCCCCCCCCCCCCCTCAGTAAGTTTCGCGTATGTAGGATTAGTACCGCGTTACTAAATCTACGTATGTATCGTACGTATGTAGAATTACTACCGCAGTACTGAATCTACGTACGTACGTAGTTTTACTACCGCGTTACTGAATCTACATACGACGTACGCGAAAAAGAGGATTCAGTGCATTCAGCACTACGAATCCCCCTTGAACTGATACTACTGTACTAATTCTTTGTTTCCTATTTATCCTATGTCTATTATGCAGTTTAAAGCAAAAATCATGGCTCCTGCTCATAGCAAAATTGCTAGTACTAAGCCTACTACCCGTTTGAGTACAAAAAAGAAGATTGCTTCACGTACTACTACTACTACTACTAGTAGTAGTAGTAGTAGTAGTAGTACCTCTACCGTGATTCCACGTCTCTCACCTGATGAGGAACTCAAATGCAAGGTTGCATTAGCTGCAGATCTTATTGTGAATCCACGTGTTCTCACTGTTGCTCAAGCTATGAAGGCTGTGGATTTTGAAAAATTTGAAGCCCACAAAGCATCTATGCAAATGCGTGTTTGTAGACTTGTAACCAAAATGAGAGAGGAAAAAGCTGAAGCTGAAGCTGAGGCTGAGGCTAAAAAAGTTTCTCCATCCACTCCATCTCTTGGAAATCGCAATATTCTTGCCACTGGGGAAGTCACACCCTGTGAAACACCAGGAGTGTCTGGAAACAAAAAGAAGAAGAAATTGGAAGGTGAGCGTGAAACCCGTTCAAGTGCCAAGAATGCCCAGGTTGAACGTGTCAATAAGAAGATCAGGACTCAAAATGTTGCTGATGCACACATGAAAGCCACAAACCTGTATAAAAACAGCCTCAGTGATGGCACTGGCACAAGCGCTGCAGTCATTGTGAAGCTGTCAATTCTGAGTATGGAACTGACCTGAATCATTGCACTGTCATGCGATATATTCATGAAGGAAAAGCTGGGATTCCACCATTAAGAAAGGGACCACGCGCAGGACACCTTGAACCCCACACTATGGATCTTGTCGTGGATGCCTTTGAAACATTTGTTCAAATTAGTCAGGCTAATGGTGAAAATTGGTGTACTGATCGTTCACCCCTTATTAGAAGAGTCAATGCAACCATCAGACTGCCACCAAATAAAACATCTTTCTTCTACACTGTGTTGGGTCGCACCGCTGTGGATCTTGATGCAAAAGTTTTGAATCCAGTGGAGGAGCACAGAGCAAAATGGACTACCAGGACTAACCTCACCATGTGGTTCGACAATTGGAAAAGGGACTTGGTTGAACTTGGATTTGCAACAAGAGGTGGAGAATATGGGATAGAAATCACTGACCAACAGTTGAGAAGTATCATAAATGTTGATGAGTCCTGTTTGAGCCTGGATGGCTCCAATGGTCGTCGTGGTGGGAGGCCATCAGCAAGTTTCGTGGATCCCCGTATCCCTTCAGCTGGAAGAACTGTATCAAAGTCAAGTGTTGCAATAACATTTATCGCAGGATCAACAGCATACGGAGAAGCAATCCCACCTCATCTTCAATTCAGTACCAGAGCCAAGGATTATGAGAGGAAAAAGCTGAAAACAGAAACAATTCTGCACTGTAAAAACATCAGGGGTTCTTTTGGGTTCTTCCCAGAGTGCAAGATGATGTTCCCAATTACTGTGGGTGTAAATGAGAAGGGGGGTATGGATGATGCAGAATTTTCCAAATATGTTTTCAACAGCCTTGTTCCACTTTACCCTGATGCTGCTGATCTTCCAGGGAGGAGGGTAATGTTGAAGATTGATTCTGGGCCAGGCCTCCTCAACATTGACATGCTTGTTGCTCTCCGTGCACATGGCTTCATTTTATACCCTTGTGTCCCCAACACAACCGCCGTCACTCAGGAAACAGACCAGTCATATGGAATCTTCAAGACCAAGTTCAGAAGCAATCTGAAACAGCTCACAGAAGATCGTTTGAAGAATAACCAACCATTGTCGTTCCCCCCTTTGATCGTGGGTCTCCTCATTTTTGGTGGAATAGATGCTGTCACTGGTTGTGGTGGTTACACTGATTGCTTTGCTATGGCCTTCTGCAGGGAAAAGAATCTGGAAGCTTGGAGTAAGGTTGGAGCTGCTCCTTGTACAATGGCCTGTTTAGACTCAAAGCTGGTTCGCCATGATAATTACAACGATCCAAATGCAACTTGGTACAAGGAAATACAAGAGCGGAATGATGTTTCATGTGAACTCCTTACAACTCATGGTTATGAAGGAAGACACCTGAAGGTGCAGCTGAACCTGCGTAGCCATGGCCACAACCAGTTGACTGTCCCCAATACAAAGGAAAGGGTTGAAGCACTTGCAAATGCCAGAACCCATGGAGATAGATTCCTTGTCACTGACGGCACACATGCAACCAGCCATGACTTTTTCAAGGCTGCTGAACTGGTGAATAGACGGAAGGCAATAGAGGCTTTGGAGAAGGAGAAGACACAGAGCATAGTGGCCAAGAAAAAGGAGAAGACTGCACTTTGGATTTTGGAGACAGAACCACCAATTCCAATAGAGTCACTTTGCATGCCACAACTTTGAGCCCTCTTAATGTGGTATGGTGTACCTAGGAACAAGCACGGGAAAAACATTGCTGAGTTGAGAGCCAAGTACAAAGAGATAAAAGAAGCAAAGACTAGTCCCATTCAGTATGCCAAGTGGACTAGTGAAAAAGAATTGAGACTCACCAATTTGAAATCAACTGAGATAGATATAGAAGACACAGCCCTGGGGCGATACAAAAAGCTTCAGAGGAAGGCATTGCATAACACAATGAAAGAAATGACAAAGGAAGAAAAAGAACAGTTCTTGAAAGAGTGTGAGGAATAGAAAAAAATCATATAAGTCAAGTAGTCACAACCAACTGCAGCTGTATTATATGATTGATCTCCTATGTTTCCTTGTTTGTTTTGGAAACATAGAAAATAAATCATATAGCACAAATAGAGTCTTGTGCATAAGTTCTCAACCAAAAGTCGCCTGATCATGCTTCTTAGCTGTGTCCCCCTCAATCTGATGGTGCTCGTTTGATTCGGCTACTCAGAATTGGCCAGCGGAGCCTCCTTGTAGTCATTCGCAACGTCGCTAATAGTTGCTTCAACCTGGTTCCATTCCCTCCACAGCACCAGGACACCAAACTTCCCTTGCGCATAAGTTCTCAACCAAAAGTCGCCTGATCATGCTTCTTAGCTGTGTCCCCCTCAATTGGATNTCCACAGCACCAGGACACCAAACTTCCCTTGCGCATAAGTTCTCAACCAAAAGTCGCCTGATCATGCTTCTTAGCTGTGTCCCCCTCAATTGGATAGGGCTCTTTCGATTCGGCTACTCAGAATTGGCCAGGGAGCTCTCCTTCCTATGGATTTGCACGTCGCTTGTAATTAGGTTCCATTCCATCCACAGCACCAGGACACCAAACTTCCCTTGCGCATAAGTTCTCAACCAAAAGTCGCCTGATCGTGCTTCTTAGCTGTGTCCCCCTCAATCTGATGGTGCTCTTTCGTTCGGCTACTCAGAATTGGCCAGGGAGCTCTCCTTCCTATGGATTTGGACGTCGCTTGTAGCTCCTTAAAATGCATCATTTGTTGTCCCTAACCCTTCCCGTCTCTTGCAAATAACTTTTCAACCAAAAGTCGCCTGAAGGTGATTCTTTGTTCTATACCCCTCAATTGGATAATTTTCTGGCCATTTGGCTACTCAGAATTGGCCAGTGGTCCCTCCTTCCTATGGATTTGGACGTCGCTAGTGATTCCTTAAAATACACCATTTCTTGTCCTTAACCCTTCCCATCTTTTGGACATAACTTTTCAACCAAAAGTCGCCTGATGGTGATTCTTTGTTCTATACCCCTCAATTGGATAATTTTCTTTCGATTCGGCTACTCAGAATTGGCCAAGATCTCTTCTTATAGTTGTTATGCAAGCCCCGACAGTGTGTTGTTATTCTTCCAGAATTCCCTGCTACATGGGACCTGTTTCGAAAATTTATTTGGCACCAAATACAACTCCTTAGACAAAGCCAACACGCAGGAGTATTAATTGAATAGTGCTCTTTCCACTCTTCCAATTCTTATAAAGATCCGACAATTGGTCATAAAGATACAGCTATCCCCATGGGTAGTGCTGAAAATTAACGAATTTGGGTCATTTCGCCCTGTGTAGAAATACTTTAGGAGCTAAGTGATATTACAAGCAATATAAACGAAATTCAATGAGCTTATCAATCAGACAAAGAGCTTTCTAACAGTACCCTTCTGGTGTTCGTAGGTGCTCTGGTTGTAAAGTTATCAGTGTCATCATGGTGAAGATGGTGAATTAGCAATAAATGAGAAGCTGCTGTTTGAATAGAATGCTTTTAGGCTCTGTACAACTTGGTAGGCTTCTACGATTAACGCAGTTTTTATCGCTTAAACTGGTACCTGCCTACTGTATGGAACAAGTTCTCGGTTCAACCGATCGTCAGAACAAAATCGAACAGCGGTCACCTCGGCACGAAATCAATAATTGACTGTGGTCACTGAACTCTACATTTTCCACGCCGATGCTTTTTAAGATTTGATGCTACTAGATACATGGTATCGATATCGATAACGTAGAAGATTGACGACCGCGGATTCATATAATGATTGGAAGATCACAACATCATCTCCCCAAAGTGTCCAGTGGTGATACCTCGCAGTGTTCGCTTCGAGGTCGAAAGTTGTCCCAACGCAAAACGACAAACGTTGGGGATATAAATTCAACGAAGCGATGCTTCATTCTTACTCTTGCGGTTGCTTCCATTACCTTTTCGATACTGGCGATTTTTTCTTGTAGCTTTTTTTCCTATCAAGAAATCGATTATTTTGACAATGAAGTCGAGAAAGAGACGTCCGAAGCAGTAACTTCTTACAACCCATTCGAATTTTTCCCGGCGGCAGGCGTTGGTTTGTTTCGCTATTATATGGGGGATCCCTCGGGGATGGGTTTCCTAATGAACAATCGAATGTGTTTCACGTATTGCGACGAATTTACTGATTACCAATGGCTCTCCAGCAACAACAACAACGAGGAAACTGCGCACGGCAACATGGATTTGTGGGTAGTATCCCGCTATTGCTCGATCCTTGCTCCGAGTTTTGGATTATTGGCGATGATTGTACTAATATTAGAACCGTATGGTTTTGGGTTCAGCGGAAGGTGCAGAGGAAAATTGTTTAGAGCGTTTCCGTTTTTGATAGCAGCGGCCCTGCAATGCGGTACCTTTTCCGTCATGTATGCGTCGCCAATCATGTACTCAACCTCGTCAGAAGACCAGCAGCAACATTTTTGTTTTTCCAGCGCATCGAATTTTCAATGTCGCATCGACACAGGTGCCGTGCTCTCCTTGAGTTCGGCGGTGATGTATTCGTTGCTTGCGGTTATTTCAATGTTCAGCATTCGCCGCACCGGCAGGAAAGAATGCTGTGCCTCCAAGATTGATACCGACGACGATAGCGAAGACAAAGGTGATATCATCGGCGAGAACAGTGGTGATGAGAGTGAAAAGCAACACGAGGGAGTCCTTCAAAGCGATTCGAATGTGAGCTGTGAAAGCTGCTGAAGAGGAAAACCGGGGATATTAACGAAATGAGTAGAAAGCAACCAACTCGTTAGCTGGGTAGCATTTGATCGTCTCGGAGTTTTCAAATATGCCTGACTTCGAGATCGTAGAGCACCGATCTTCCAATACATAGTATCAAACAACTCGTTGGAATAAGTCTTTCAATGCAAAATCGATTTGAATATACCGCTCGTTGAATGGAAACATTCAAAATGAACAAGAGAGAAGGAGGTTCGTGCGCTGTAGAACTATTTCTGTTTATCAGCATCATGGTGGGTGAAGGAGGATAACATACTATTGTATCAATGAAGATAATCCTACATCACCATCAGTACCAACAGTCTTTCCATTGAAAATTGATATCTTTATTCTGAACACATAACTGCTTTAAAATATATATTGCCAGGAATCAATCAATAGTACAAGTAGTACTAGTACTGCTGCTATTGTTCTTGGTGATAGTAAAAGTAGTTATTTGACAATCATACTGCTAGTACTAGTAGTAGGAGTAGGAGGAGAACGTACTTTTAGTATGTGTTTTCAATAGCTACTACTAGTACAACCATTCCTTATTGCAATAGTGTAAAAAAAATGATGTAATACTAGTACTAGTAGTAGTTCTACTAGTAGCTGATGAGAAGTACTGTACTTCGTAGTAGTAGAAGTAGTTTTGATAAAGTTAGTATTAGTAGTGAAAAATGTACAAAAAAGGAGAATTTTAAAAAAATCCCGTGGGGCCTTTTCTGAAATTCGAACCAAACGCGGAATAGGAGTTTCTCTTTTCCCTTGGTTTGTTTCGTAACAAGGGGGAAGAGATGCGTCACGTCGTCTTCGTGATTGCCTTTTTGGATGGTGGTACAAATACACGAATACGTAACGGCACGTACCTACTTGGTGGCATAGTTGTTTTTGGTTCGTTGACATTTTTTTCGTTGGTGGATTGTTTTTAGGCCAGGAATGCGCGGATTTCTCCGCGCAGGAACCGACCCAAATCGTTTAACGGCATCGCACCGTTTGGGGAGTTGTTCGTACGAACCGTACGGCACCGAAGCATTGGTTCTGTGGAAGGTGCTTTTGGAAGTAACGGTCCTATCGCCCGTCGTGCCTCGTCCCGGTCGGCTAACGGTAGGGAGTACTAGTACGTAGCAACGGTATCCGTACGCATCGTGCGGGGCGATGCGGGGTGGCATGGTTTCGGATTTTGCTTCCTGTTGCGGATCCCCCGTGGGATCGACGCACCGTACCGTAGATGGAAGTAGAGTATTTTTTTTTACGTCGTACTCGTACGGAGTAGTACTCGTACCTTACGGTGGGAACCACAAAGAGACGACGGAAGGAAGGAAGGGAGGAAAGAACGCGGTAGATTCATAAATCTTCCGTGAACATCGCCATCGTCATCGTTGTCGTCAACGAGAACGCCAACGATCGCATCAGCAAGAACAAACGCAAAAGCAGGAACTCTTTATCTCTCGTTGGAAGCAGAAGCAGCCGCAATAGCCGCAACAGCAGCAAGAACAACAGCGTGAGCTAAAGCACCAGAGATATCACACCATACAACCCAAATTCTTTTTTTGTCTCGTCTCGTTTCGGAATCGCGAAGAGAACCCAACATGCGCAACACGACAATCGGCAACGACCACCGCCGGCGTGGTCTCAAGCGGGAGCTCTCTCCGGGAGCGAAGGAAGGGGCGTCGCTCGGCCCGGAACGGGAAGACCGTCCCTCAAAAGGGCTCGCCCGGAAGGGGCGCCAGGGCCGATCGGGTTCGTCGCCCCTTCGGTTTTCCTCGTTTGCCGCCTCGTGGCTCCTCCTCGCGGCGTGTCTCTGTTCCTCCGTGACGAGGGTCGCTTGCAGCGACGACGCCTATGGTTATTACGGCAGCAACAACGACGATGCATCGAACAACAATTACAACAACAACTATTACGGCGGCAACAACTATAACAATAACAATAACAACTACAACAACAATGGAAACAATTACGGTGGAAACTACAACAACAACTACAACGGTAATAACAATAACAACAACGACGATGGAGGCAACAACTACAACTACAACGGTAATAACAACAATGACGACGCGAACGCTAATGCGAACGACGACGCGAACAACGTCGACTATTACGATTACGAAGCACCCGGCTACGACGACGAATACAACAAGCAATGGGAAGACGACAACATCGATCTCGATGTCGACGGCTTTGACGGGGTCAGCATTGCTCCCGTGAGCTGTGTCAATTAGTAAGTGAAACAAGCCGAATTGACTTGGTGTTGGTTCGATTCGATTCGATTGAGATAAGTTAAGCTTTCGCTAGTCGAGCCGAGCAGAGCTGGAATGCGGAGATTTGGTGTTTCCTACCATGTTGTGTTTTACGATTTGGCATCCTCTCTTGAAATGAAAGTCCAACTCAAATCACTCGTCTTTACTTTCTTCGCTACTCGTCACAAATTGTCTATTCCGGTACAACAATCATTTATGTAACCACAGTCTCACCGGACATTTTATCAAGTTCGAGCTGTACGAGACAGAAAATAGCTATCAGTGCCACTTTGGTCAAATCGGAACTTTTGTTGTCAGCATTGCTCATTATATGCGTGCTTATTTCAATTACCAGGCTCTCACATACGGAAATGCATTCAGTCTTCCGGACGATGTTGGCTATCTCAATTGCATTCCTCTGAAAATGGAAAAATATGGATACGGAGACGATGATGTGAATGGAGACGACGCTAGTGGAGACGACGCAAATGGAGACGATGCTGCGGAAGACCAAGACCAGGAAAGCGGTGACGAAGACGAAAACGAAAGCGGACAAGCGGTTCTCTACGCAAAGGTTGGGTGTCTGGCCAAGGAAACGTTTAGCTCCAACACCTTTCAGCTGCACCTCTACACGGACGACAAGTGCACGGAACCCTACGACGATGGACAAACCGACCAGCAGCACGCCAACAAGGGGTATCTAATCGATCTCGATACATACTACGATGCCAAGGACGGCGACGATGCTGCACAGGACGATGGCATTCGGTACACGGATTATCCCCAGGACAAGCGCACCCTCCTCTTTTCTACCAAGGTCAGCTTTCGCCCTAGTTTTTATACCTGCCAATCCTGCAAGCCACCCCAGATCAGTCAAACCTTCAACAAATTCGCCGGAAACTACTACGACGACATGTTTATTAGTCAATACGGCATGACACAATCGGCCTACAACGCCTACCTCGAAGAGAAGGCGGAACAAGAGGCGGCAGCGGCGGAGTGCAACAATTGCCAATACTTTCATTACAGTGCCGACGATAGCGTAGACGACTTTAGCAGCGTCAATGACGACGGTAGTTCCGCTAACGACGACGTACAGGCATTGGACGACGCGTACTACAATGCAGTAGACGACTACAGCTACCAATCCAGCAACAACTACAACAACGGGAACGATGATGGCAATGGTAGAAGACTAACTTCAACAACAACGACGATGACGAGCGACGAACCCAGGCGACTGGGAGAAGTCCCATCAGCAGTCACAAAAGAACTCTCCTCGGCGCTGGTTCCGGTGCAATCGGAACTAGAGGTAGGTTTCCAGAAATGTTTTTTTGCCACAGAGCATTCTTTAGTTTGTTTATGTATAAGATACTGATCTTGATTTTGTTTTCGATTGCTTTTCTCTACCTTACTCGAATGCAATTGATGCACAGAAATTCGAATCGGAATTCTGGACGTCTGTGGATGCCCAGTTGGAAGATCGAGAACGATTCCTATACGAGAACAAATACGGCGGAGTCGATTCGTGGAACATTTGCGAGCAGGTGTACAAATACGGCTTGTATTGCGACGAAGAATGCCAGAGCCTCGACGCCTTTAAAACCGACCAGTGGTCCGGCGCCAACATTGTCCTCCTGAGCATCATGTGCACCTTTATGGGGGCCATGGTTATGCTGGTTGTGTCCAAGCGACTCAACGCCGCCCGAAAGGCCCGAAGGCAAAAGTCCTTCTTTGATGCGAACGACTTTGATATGTCGGCGTCCGGGATCGACACGTCGTCGATACCGGGGCTGCCACCGATGGCCATGTTTACGATGTTTGGTGCCGTCATGGTCATCATCACCGTGCTGGCCTCGCTGCACTTTGTCAATGAGACACTCGTCTTTGCCGTGGTGTGCTGCATCCTGCTCTTCATCTATATGCTCAAGATCACGCTGTTCTCGGCCAGGAAACGACCCGTCCTGCTGACAAGCCCGAACCACGAGGACGTCTTTGGCTATAACAATGCCGACGACGACTTTAGCCAATCGGGGAGGCGCGGTTTCTTCTCGTAGGTCCTCCGAATCGAATCGAATCGATTCTATCTATTATCTATATCATTCAAGTTGCTTTTTTAGACAATGCTTTACACGTGACTTCGATTTCGTTGCCGGCTTTTTTGTTCGAAAGCGATGAATCTGCTAGTTACTTAGTGCTTTTTTCTGGTAGGGTTCGTGGACACGATCTAGCTTGCACGTGCGCTTGGAACCTGTTGGGCCGCACCGCCATGTGTCACCCTCAGCCTAGCTTGATTGCATCGGGTGCGACATCGATCGAATCGATGTTTTGCGATGTGGCTTTCTCGCGTTTTTTGGAACACCGATATCTTGTATTTTGCCCGTGGGTCTTGTCATCCTTGCCATTGCGGCCCACGTTTTTTTTTTGCCAACAACCATGAATTGTGTCGGGTCGTGTCATCTTGCAATCAGTCATTCCAATACTTACAGAGAACCTCATTCCTTCGTTGAGTATTGGAAACGACGGACAGACGAAAGACGGAACCAAACGGCCCGGCACCGCGAAAGCCAAATAGCTTCACTAACTCAAGCCCTCGTTGCCTCAACAAGCCTTGACCTCATTCTCGAAAGTATTGCGGTGAAGGACAGCCACKGTAGGATGAGACATGGTGTGAAACAGGAAAATTCACCACTACACACCATGTGCATCACCACCACAGCAACGACCTAACCAAAGCACCGAGAGAATCCGGTGAAGACGCAACGACTCACCACCAAACAGAACGTACAGCACCCAACACACAAGGCACCCAGCCGTGTCCGCCAACCAAACAACTGACCTCCAGGACACTCCGCCGTGCCCATCCAGGACACTCCGCCGTGCCCGTAACACCACAAACAACCAAACCAACAACCACATAACCACCCAAAACACTCGGAAACCCACCGAACTAAAAAACCCAAACGATGCCTGTTACCGGAACCCCCGGAAAATCGTCAAATAGAATGCAAAATTCGCCAAACCACTCCGCGGACGAACCAAACACCCCCGCAACCACATATCCTCATCACACAACCACCAACTTGACACCACACTATGACACCAAGAACCCACAAGAGTGAACACGAACAAAAACCAAAAAGAACACCAAAAATAAACAACAACAGGACCAACACCTAACAAAATCAAGCAACGCCCACCGACAACCCCCTAACAAACGACAAATTAGGCAACGACACCACAAAAACGACCCCGAAACCAGTGCCACACCACATCACCTCAGCACCACACCAACACCAAACAAACAGCAATAAAAATACTACAACAACAATCAACCACATGCTCACAAATCTAATTTTGTAAAACCAAAAACTCCCACACCCTCACCCACCACCATGCCAGCCCTCGCCCTCGCCCCCGCCATCCGCGACGCCATCGTCGCCGTCCTCAAAGACAAACCCCACCCACCACCTAACACCCAAACCCCATGGACCCCAGGACACCTCTACCAAGCCATCCTCGACAACCATGGAGTCTCCCCAGTCTTCGCCCTCGGCCATAGCAACAACAAACTGTACGTCATCAACCTACACCAAAGCAAACACCAACTCCTCACGATCCAACGCCAACAGGCGCTGGAGCAAGCGGACCGCAAATGCCCCCAAACAACTGGCCCAAACGGAACYCARCAAGCCCTCACCAAGAACCCAATCCCGTTCCTCAAACCACACGCAACGGCAAAAGCAAAAAATGCACGACTCCTCCAGGAACTTCCCCCATCCCTACTCGATCTTTATTGCGCTGACCAGCACCCGACCCACCCCAACAAACTCCGCGCCACACTCATCCAGGAATATGACATTATTACCTCCTAGTAGCAGAGGATGCATTGGGGAAGCTAGGACCATCACTGCTTCCTGCTGGGAGAAGGTTTCTTCTACTACTAGTTGCTGTGAGGAAGAGCACAACTTGTGAAGGACATATGTACTACTAAGTTATGCTGATATTATCTAAAGTATTGTTGTCTCTTTCTGGAGTATCTACCAAAAGCTCTCCATTTGATATTAACAATTACTACTACTACTAGTAAATCCATTGACAGTTTTTTACCCCTATTTGTCTTTTTATTTTGGAGGGTTGTACCTATTCTGTATCCCTAAATGAATTTATTTTGCAAGTGAAAATATCACGTGGGTTTTGAATCCCAACCGGACTTAGTACTACCTCACTTGTCAAATATTTTTTTCTAAAAAGTTTTGGATGAGTTAAGGATCAAAAATTAATTTCCAATGGTATGGGAGGGCTGCTATTGAACGTGCCAATGTATTTTTATTCATGCTTGTATATTTGGAGTGCAATTTTTATCTTTTTAATTCCGTGTTGGGTAGTAAGACTGATTGAAGTTCCAATTTATTTCATTTCTGTTTTTGGTCTAGTTGATACATTAGAATCCCATGGTAGAAGTTTTTGAATCATATTTTGGTTTATTTCAATCAAATTTTCAATGTTTTGTTCCCACAACTGGTCCAGCAAGACAAAAACAACATCCTCAGACAACACCCTCAAACAACACCCTCAGTCCAAATGGCAACAATAAACGAAAACAACAAAAACACCAATCTATACCGCACCAGAACAGCAAGAAAAACAAAGATCAATCTTGCCATTAGTTTCCACATTGCATTCCAAAGATGAAACCATTGAATGCCATCAAACATTGCTTTTGTTTCAAAAGAGACACTTCTTAAAACCATATCAGGAAAAAATAATGATTAAAAAGCCTGCAGAATGACAACAAAAACCATTTCACCACATTTTCAACCCATCAAACAACACCAAATGTTATTTCTATTCCAAAAGTATTGGTTCCCACAACCTTCAAAAGACATCAAACATTGATTTCCTTCCTTTTCAAAAAGGAACTTCTTGACACCAGATCAATTGATCATATGGATCTGTTTGTGTTCAAAAAGGCAATTGATCCTGCCAAACAACAACAACAACAACAACAACAACAACAACAACAACAACAACAACAACAAGCAGTAGAAGTAATAACTTAGCATAGAAATTCCCAAACATGCCATGCCATATGGTGGTATGTATGCATACCTGCTCTTGCTGCTTGTCAGTTGGAGGGGACACCACCAGAAGGGATAACTTCCTCTTCTTAGTTGTTATAAGTAGTAACCATTGAGCAGCTCAACATTTCCATGTACTCACATGTGCTTAGTTACTACTACTGTGAGGTTACAACAAAACACTAATGCACGAAATAACGTGTATTGAATTGTTTTAGTAGTAGTAGTAGTATTTAGATTGTATCTAAATTAGGATTGTGAGACTAAAGCTAATGAATAAAGTGTTAACTCAATGAATCCACCTCTCACGCGCTTTCC